AAGGCAGACGCTTAACGACTGAGCCACCCAGGCGCCCTAAATGGGCTTTTTCTCATTTAAGTTCAATAGACCACACATTAGAGTCACATGTGAATGTCAGCCAAAATTCAGATGCCATATCAATCATGCAACTGTTCAGGTGAGATATTAAGAACAATTTAAAGCATTAAAAACATATTGAAAGAGCTCCCAAATTAATCTTCTACACAAAAACCATATATTTTCATTTTATAGACAAACTCTCTAAGAGGAAGACTCTAACAAGTCTTATTTTTAAATTCTCAAGAAAATGCTAAACATTGCATTCAACCTTGCTTGTTGATAGTCTCTAACCTTTTTATGCACTCAGCAAATGGCTGGATACTCCACCATTTCCAACATGACTGAGTACATCTGTGTTTAAGAAAGCTATAGAAGGCAGAATTGCCTAGGGCTTTTCAATTTTTTGGTATTCCTTTAAGCACCAAAATCTTTTCTGAAGCCCATTGTTAGGAGAGAATAAAGAAGAAGCTGGGTTGCTCTGGGTGGAGTAATTGAGGGAAGAGCCCCTGAATTCCTTAACCTCTTCCACCTGTCCACACCTCCCTCACCACTTTAACAGTGATCTTGAGGTACTTCCACATTGTGTAGACTCAGGGCTTGTAGTTCTCGTGCTAAAGCTCTATTGCACTATGATCTTGGATAAACTGTTTCTCACCTCTATCAAGTAAAGAGATTGGCCTAGATATGTTCTAATTTCCTGTAATACTATGAGTTTAGATCAAGAATATTATTAAAGCATTCTTCCGTCTCTTTTCTGAAGACAACTTGAGGCATTATGATGTAAAGTCAATTTTAACATGGTTTTAACTAAATAAGGCAATGCTATGAATAATTGTCAAATCCATGACTAACCATTTCTTTCTATTGCTATATCCAACTACAACTTCAATCGAGTCTTATCAACAAATATTCTTTGCATAAACTGTGTCTATGACTGGGGACAAGGGGTCTTCCAACAGACTCTGACAGGACATTTTAGTCAGGATATTGACTATACTTAAACCAAATTATTGTTATTGAGATAGTCCTGGCTGTACTTTCACATTTATGTTCATGTTTTATGCAGGACTAATTTCAGGCTTGGTTCCAATGTACCTTGGTGAAATTGCTCCAACCACACTCAGGGGTGCCCTTGGCACACTTCACCAGCTGGCCATTGTCACGGGCATTCTTATTAGTCAGGTAAAAACTCCCATCCCCTACTTCACCCATCCTCTACTTTATCCAGCTTCTTCCTCCCTGATAGACCAGCACAGCGGAAAAAACTAGTTCCACCATTGGGAGTGGGGATGCTGTAGAGACTTAGGCTTTTTAGCTCAAAGCTAAATTATTACTGCTTCACTCCTCACTTCTCCCCTTGGATCTGTGGTAGGGTTGGCACTAGAGATGACCCAACATGCCAGGTCTTGAACTTCTGGAGCTAGTCTAGAATTAAATTATTCTGTTCAGATTTCAAAGAATTGGAAACTTCACATTTTTAACTGCTGGATTTCCTTTGTTTTTTTTTTTTTTAAGATTTTATTTATTTATTTGACAGAGACAGAGATAGCGAGAGCAGGAACACAAGCAGCAGGAGTGGGAGAGGGAGAGCAGGCTTCCTGCCGAGCAGGGAGCCCGATGCGGGACTCGATCCCAGGACCCTGGGATCATGACCTGAGCCGAAGGCAGACGCTTAACGACTGAGCCACCCAGGCGCCCCAGGATTTCCTTTGTTTTGAGCATCTTACCTGGACAATTAATATGTGTATGATTACCATAGCAGTTTTTTGTTCAGCTGGCTCTATCCTTCCCTTCCATCCCATGGACTCAGAGTCCTCAGAACCCTTAACCTAGGATTATCCAGAGGGTAAACCACTGCAATAAGGATGATAAATCTGGGTCTCATTATAATGATTGTTCTATCTATATAATCCCATTTTTATTTTTCTGGGTAATCTAAGGAGAAATTTTTTAGGGTCCAAAGTTACACATGGTTTTTGGTGTTGCTTTAGATGTCAAATGTGTTCTTAAAAGTTTGGTTGTTTCCCATCCTAAATGGCCCATATGCATTAATGAAAACAAACCTAAGTGAATTCTTTGTAAAACAAATAGTCCCAAATTTAGTTAAGTAAGACACACTAGTAATAGTTTCTGCTTTGGGCATACTTGAAGCAAAGTTGTCAGGGATTACTATTAAATAACCAACGTACTTTTTCAACAAATGGTTACAGAAGGCAGACCCAAAGTGTTGTGCAGTTGCCATGCTTCCTCCCTGCCTTTTCAGATTGTTGGCCTCAACTTTATCCTGGGCAATCATGAGCAGTGGCATATCCTGCTTGGTTTGTCTGCTGTGCGAGCCATCATCCAGTCTCTGCTGCTCTTCTTCTGTCCAGAAAGCCCCAGGTACCTTTACATCAAGTTGGATGAAGAAGTCAAAGCAAAGAAAAGTAAGCCTGTGGGTGGTTTTCTTTCTTCCTATTGTTTTGGAACTATCAACTAATGAAAAACAATGTGCAAGAATGTTTACTGGTCAAGTTGGTATGAGCGCTTTCCAAATGAAGTCAATGATTACATGTAAGAAGAATGTGCAAGATCACTTCAATATGACTCACGCATGCCATTTCAAACCCATAAACACTTGATCCCAAGTGGGAAACCCATGTGCACAGGATTGGACTCAACCAGAGGCTTCTAAAAGACCTTTACCTGCATTATGCTTTTATGATAACAAAGATCATAGTTTTCTTTGTCATTAGATAAAGCCAAATGTTTTTCTCAAAATTTAAAAACAGGATTTAATTTAACAAAAAGAATTGCCAACACTCATGCTGTAAAGCAATAGAATGGGCTATGCAGAACTATAGCTCTTTCATTAACATAATAAAAATAAACTTGCTTTTGTTTTGACCTGAGTTGTATCAATCTGATCATTTTGTGGGCAGGCCTGAAAAGACTCAGAGGAGGTACTGATGTCACCAAAGACATCAATGAGATGAGAAAGGAAAAAGAAGAAGCATCCAGTGAACAGAAAGTCTCCATAATTCAGCTCTTCACCAACTCCAGCTACCGACAGCCTATTCTAGTCGCACTGATGCTGCATGTGGCTCAGCAATTTTCTGGAATCAATGGGGTAAGTTTAAGAATACTCTCTAACTCCCTAAAATAGGGAAAGAAAGGGGTATAAATTTTTTTTTATATTAGAATTTCTTGAGTTATTTTAGTTAGTTAGTTCAGTTAGCCACTGTAGAGTACATCATTAGTTTTTCATGTAGTGTTCAATGATTCATTAGTTACATATAATATCCAGAAATCAGAGAGGGAGACAAACCATAAGAGACTCTGGACCCCGGGAAAGGGGTATAAATTTAAATAAATAAAGGCATTTTAAAATGTTGATATCATGTTTTACTACAATAAACATATACTGAGCATTAATTTTCTTTGTTTTGCCTCATCTGCTTTCTAAAATTGGATTAGAATTTTTAAAAATGTCAACAATCAATGACACTGTGTCTATTAAGATGGAAGGTAAAAAGCAAAAATCATAATTAATACAAAAGCGGGAAAAGGAGAATAATTATACAAAAAAAAAAAAAAACCTTAAATTAAGGGGCTTCTAGAGTTGAATACCAAGTTTAGGATTCCGGATAGTCCAGGCAAAAGGAGTCCATGGTTCCCTTTATCTATGTATCTTTATTATTTTTTTTTAAAGATTTTCTTTATTTTAGAGAGAGAGAGGGCATTGGGGGGGGCAGAAGGAGAGGGACAAGCAGGCTCTCCGCTGAGCAGGGAGACCAACACGGGGCTCAATCCTAGGACCCTGGGTTCATGACCTAAGCTGAAGGCAGACGCTTAATCCACTGAGTCACCCAGGCACCCACCTACCTTTACCTATTTAAATGAAGTATACCACGGGCACCTGGGTGGCTCAGTTGGTTGAGCATCAGACTCTTGATCTTGATCTTGGGACTGTGGATTCAGGCCCTATGCTGGTCTCTGTGTTGGGCTCTGCACTGGGTGTGAAACCTACTTATAAACAAACAAACAAACAAACTAAACTAAACAAAACAAAATCAAACCAAATGGCTAGGTGCAAAGAAATTTCCTGCCATGCAAGAAATTTTTCATTCTAGGGGCGCCTGAGTGGCTCAGTCATTAAGCGTCTGCCTTTGGACCCCCTGCTTGGCAGGAAGCCTGCTTCTCCTTCTCCCATTCCCACTGCTTGTGTTCCCTCTCTCGCTGTGTCTCTCTCTGTCAAATAAATAAATAAAATCTTTAAAAAAAAAAAAGAAAAGAAATTTTCACTCTATTTGGGGAGCCAGCATACAAAAGAAACTACAGTGTGAACTGGCATGACAGTGGTGAACGAGGGCAGTAGACAAGACATGATTAAGAAACATACTGAATGTTAAACTAGCCAGTTTTTAGGTTTTGAACTGAAATCACCGCATTACACAGACTAAAATTATTCTACTGGCAATTAGCTACTAGAAGAAAAAAAGTAAGCATTTGCTAAAAAAAAAAAAAGATTTAAAAAATCACTTATCCTCTTTTACTGCTGTTAAAAATGTGGTTTGGGCTTCCTCTATTATGAGCTAATTACAGATCCACAAGGGGGTGGCTTGTGGATGGGCAGAGTCTTGGAAGAGGTAAAGAAAGTAATTCTCATCTGTTGAAACAAAAGGAGACCTGGACCTCAATCAACAAGGTGAATACTGCTCTTCTGTCATCTCTATCCTCCTTTAATGGTTCCTTGATGTCCGTTTTAATCTAATACTCTATATAACTTCGGGGTTTGGAGGCCAAATTTGTATCCATTTTCTCAGCTCTGCCTGTATATCCAAAGGAACAAGACTTAGTCTTTCTGAACCTCCCTGCTTTAGCTACTATCCCAGTGCCTGACTTAGAGGCATCCAGGAAATGTTGAACTGAGGCTGTTGGGCAGCCTAAAAATGTGGGATAGTGTACAATGTGCTATAAGCTACTCCTCTCTGAGCACAGTCTGTACAGTCCTTCTCCATTAGCCCTATCTGCAGGAAGAGGTGCCAGCAACAGGACGTGTTAAATGGGGAAGGAGGGCGCCTGAGTGGCTCAGTTGGTTAAGCGACTGCCTTCCGCTCAGGTCATGATCCTGGAGTCCCTGGATCGAGTCCCGCATCAGGCTCCCTGCTCGGCAGCGAGCCTGCTTCTTCCTCTGACCCTCCCCCCTCTCATGTGCTCTCTCTCTCTCTCTCATTCTGTCTCAAATAAATAAATAAAATCTTTAAAAAAATAAAAAATAAATAAATAAATGGGGAAGGAATGAGAGAGGATGAGAGAATGACAGAATGGCCTTAAAAAGACCATTATAAACGTAAAAACATAATTAATAATAAAGGCCATTAGAGAGATTTTGAAGATTTCTCCATGTCTACAGAGATTAGTGAAAAATTTTGGATTAAAAGCAATAGCAACCAGAATTCTTATACACGCTGGCAGGAGTGTCAATTGACACAACTTTTCTGGAAAACCATTTGCCATATTTATCAAAGCTGAGCATATGCATACACTATAGTCTAGTAATTCTAATTCCTAGATGTAAATGTGTACATATTTCACAAGGATTATACTAGAATGTTCATAACAGCACCTTTCATATTCACCCAAATGACAACTACCTAAATACCCATCAGTAGTAGATTGGATAATAAATAGTGGTATATTAATACAAAAAAATACTAAGCAATGAAAATGAACAGTGTACAAATACACACAACTATATAGATAATTCTCGCAAAGGTAATGTTGAAGCCAGATACCAAATAATTCACACTGTGTGGTTCCATTTATAGCAAGTACAAAACTAGGCAAAATTTATCATGATGTTAGAGGCTGAAGAGCTTCCTTGGAAAAATAGGGGGATAGTCTGGGGGGTTCTGGAAGACTGGAAATTATTTATTTCTTGATCTGTGTGCGGGTTACACAGGTGTGTTCAGTTTGTAAAAATTAATCTGTATACTTATGTTGTGTGTACTTTTTTGTATTTTATACCTTAACAAAAAGTTTAAAAATTAAAAAATACATATCAAGATAATGCAGACCCCAAGTTTTCAGCTAAATTTAAGGAGAACTTTAATCAGAAATTTCAAACACTAAAGGTTCATAGTAGTTTCTCATTGCCTGGAAGAAGAGGACAGATAAAATGTTTAGGGCATTCTAGGGACCATGGTTCCATAGAAACTACTAAAAATAAACAACCTAAAATATTTCTTGCTTTCAAGCTACAGTGCTAGGATTCTTGATTAAAGCTAAATTGTTATTACTTTACAGATCTTTTACTACTCAACTAGCATTTTTCAGAGAGCTGGAATCAGCCAACCTGTTTATGCAACCATTGGAGTTGGTGCCATCAACATGGTTTTCACTGCTCTCTCTGTGAGTTAATACCCTAGATAAATATGCTACTTGTTCTTCAGTTCAGAAATGGGGGAAGGGGGTACCTTGTGATCTAAAAGCAACCAGTGATTTATTGCTCATGTGTATTGGGTGTATAGAACCAAGTGGGTCACAGGAAGAGTCCTATATGCAAATAACAAACTACTAAGCATGGCTGAACAAGTGGATCACTAGTTGTCCCCATTTGCTGGGATGCCATTTAGTCACTCATTTGTGAATTAATAACTTACTTGGGGCACAGAGGACTTCTTCCTTGTGTAAATAGATGGAGTCCTTTTCCTTTGCTCTGTACTTGAATCTGTTGGGATCAGGTGACTACTTGTCATTCCTATCAATATTGGGTCTTCTACCTAGTTTCCTCTCTTTCCATGGTTGAAATCCTTTTTTTATCCTGATGTCTTGGCAAAAACACTTTAAAAAAAAATAAGGTCTTCTGTAACGTATCTATGCCCATGACAGGGTTAAACAGACTCAGCAAATGCTAACGATATTAGGTTAATGAACAGAGCTTCTAGATAGCTCACAAGGCCATAACTTCTGGTGATGCATTAAAGTGTGTGTGATATTATAAGAGATGGAGTAGAAGTGGTATAACTTGAAATGTTATTAGTTTTGAAATGTCATTTTTTTTCTCACAAGGGGAAAAGTCATATAGTCTTTTCAAGACCGAATACCTTATATAATGAATGATTCAGTATCTTGACAATATTTAACATAAATAATCTAAGAATAAAGTAAACAACAACAAAAAAAACCCCTAAAACTTCCCAACTCATGTAATTCACTCTAAAATGAGGATAATTGGGCTTATTTTTATCTTTGAATGTAGGATATTCAAAAAGCTTGTGCTTTTAAATGTTGGTCACCATGTTATATTCAATATACTTCAGTCACTTGTTTTTCATTCTCTGCACATGGACTTTTAACTATTACCTTAGGGTGGTCAATAAATTACAGCCTAGCTACCTAGATCAAAAAGCAGATTTGTCCAGACTACATTAAACAGTGCTGGACCTTGGAAAGAGGAGGTAGAACAGATAACAAGGGAACACCAGCAGTTCTGTAGACATGCCTTTAGAGATAATGCCTGTTCAAGCCAAAAGGCCACTCAAAATCGATGAAGGCCTGCTACTGGGATGTAATCCAAGGGCTACTCACATTCTTTTGTCTCCTAAGATATATTTTTTACAAATCCTACTTCAACATATTTTTCTAATATAGAAATTATGCTTAAAACATTTTATGTGTGACAGGATTTGCTGTGTAAAGCAACAAGTTGTCAAAATTGGGTAACCCAAATTCTAAATGCCTATAAAGGAAACTACTGCAGAATTTCATTTTTGCCCCCCTCCCTACCAACCCAGCTGGAGTAGGAGTAGTTGTTTGGAAAAGTTTCTTGATTATTTTGAATATGCCTTTTTAGAGTTTATCCATTTATTCTGTGAAAGTTTTTGAACAGATGAGTGACATTTTAAATGTCAGCTCTAATCATCTGTCTAATTAACCCTCCAGGGCTACAGATAACATTTAAGATTTTTAATTATATTTATTTTTGAAAAGTTGTTTTAAGGATCAAAAAGTACAAAAAGCATAGTCCTTCAGTCACGCAACTCCTCTCCCCTAAATTAACCAATGTTACTGAATTCTGTGTATCTTTTCAAATAAAGATATACAAATAGGAATATGCATTGATAAGTATTAAATGTTTCACCAACTTGGAAGGGACATAATCAATCAATTTTTTTTTTGGAATGAGTATTTGGGAAAAGAAAGACTTTCCTAACTCCATGCTGAATTATGTTTCCACATTCCATATTTTCTCCCACACTGATGGGTTGGTAGAAGAGAGCCTGTAAACTTGAGAGAAAACAAAACAGGAAGAAATGTGGAGGGAATGGGGACACAGATGGGTCTAGAGGAGAAGCAGTGGCATCCAGGATCTGCGTGACACACACTGTCTTGGGCAAAGACAAGGGTTCTAGGTCAGGCAGACATCTCCATCCTCAAGGAGTGAGTTCATAATTTATTATCCTATTAGTAACAATTGTTCAAAAACAGAAGAAACATAGTAAAGCCCTCATTCCTGAAGAAATGCTTCTATTTTCTTGATAGCTTGACATGGTGTCATCAAGTCAACTTGGAAAGTCATAGAGTCAAATTATATAGATAAATGTTATGAACTTGGGTGCGAGGTGTTTTTCATACTACCTTCTCAACAGTAAGTGTGGGCTCTTTGCTCATCATCCTGAAGTGATCTGAAACCCGAATATGAATTGCCTCTGAAATGAAAGGGGCTTTTACTATAGGTGAAAACAAATGTTTCTCAGATATTCTCAGAGCCAGAGCTCAAGGCTGTTGAATTGCTGTTGAGTCACTGATAGATTTATGAGCCAAGCCAATTTACTCATTGAAGTGAGAAATTATGACAGATAATTTTTGTGTGTGATTCACCAACCTTGGCAGTATCCCAAGGATCAAGCAAGAAGAGTCTGTATAAACAAACATTGGTCTTGTCTAATTGTAAATGTTAAACATTAATGCAAAGGTCCACAGATCCCAAGGTACCAATGATCTATCTCCTAAATTAGGATAAGAAAGCACTTTAAGCTTTTGCTTTAAAGTCTTATCTTTTCAAATGGATAATTCACTTCCAGCACCAAATACACTTTAGGCACACCAGAAAAATGCAGATCTGACTATTTGGTAAAGTGATCAAATTCTGTAAGTTGTCAGGTCGTAATTTGACTTTATTAGCAGTGAGAAAGTTGGATGAGAATGGTTGACAACGCAACAGTTATACTATTTCAGGTTGTCTGCTGTGCACAAAACCTTGTACTTAGAACAGGATAATTATCAAAAGATAAATTAATGTCCTTTTTTATGTAGAGCCATTTTAAATGTACAAGAAATCTATTGGAAGAGATCCAAGATGTACAGCCTCTTAATACTGTATTCAAGTGATAATTGCAGAGTGATGGTAAGGTTATGGCTCTTTGTCCAGAATGGCTATTCAAATCACTTTGACTAAATGAAGCAGGTATCTGTTAATTACTTCTGCTCACTGAGACCAGTTCTGCCACCTGAGGCAAGAGTCACCCCCCAACTCAGTTCCACATCTGTAAAACGGGATTATAGAACTGCCTCCTTCCAGCTGTATAAATTAAAATTACCTCTTCAGCAGTAAAAACTAAGTCAGTATGTTTTAAAACTTTCCTAGGTATTCCTTGTGGAAAAGGCAGGGCGACGCTCTCTGTTTCTAATAGGAATGAGTGGGATGTTTGTCTGTGCCATCTTCATGTCTGTGGGACTTATATTACTGGTAAGTGTAGATTTTTGCACTGAGATTTTTGGTTACCATATGATAGCACTTCTGTGTTCCAGGCTAAAGTGCTCTGTATGTCAAAACATTTGAGACTGACTTATGAAATAAAGCCAGAGGAACAGCATAGAATACAAGGAAGAAATGTAAAGTAAAGGGGGACTAGCTTTTGGGGTTTAAAGACTTAAATGTCACAAGTGAATTGCACTTGTTACCAAGGAAGGCAGTGTCGCCAAATGGTCAGAGTATAGTCTCTGGGGTCAGCCCCGCTCAGGTTCTAACACTGGCTCTGCCATTTGGCTACCTATGTGACCTAGGGAATGTACCAGGACCTCTCCAACCCAGCATCCTCATCCACTACTTCATGGAGGGTAAGGCATCCTGTCTAGCAATCTTGGTATGAATAGGAGCAAAGCTCATAGATTCTTGCCTTGTTTCTATCACAGGAGAAGAATGAGAATCAAAGTCCTAATCCAGAGGATTTTCTAATGACAGGATTCAAAAGATTTAAGCGTGACTGAGACTAGAATAAACCCGTCTCAAACCAGAATAATCTGTAGTTATTTGCACATAAACCTATCAGGCAGAGAGCCGCATCACCTCTGAACTCAGTGAGAGGTGAACTTAGCTAAAGGAAGCAGCAGCCAATAATCCCAACCCCACTTTTGTTTTCATTTTGTTTTTTCCTCAGGATAAACTGGCGTGGATGAGTTATGTAAGCATGGTAGCCATCTTCCTCTTTGTCAGTTTCTTCGAGATTGGGCCTGGCCCTATCCCCTGGTTCATGGTGGCAGAGTTCTTCAGTCAAGGACCCCGGCCTGCTGCTTTAGCAATAGCTGCATTTAGCAACTGGACCTGCAATTTCATTGTAGCTCTGTGTTTCCAGTACATTGCAGTAAGCAGCCTAATATTGTGTAAATTTGCTGAACAGAGATGGAGTAGAACAGCTGCTAATTGGAACTCTGTTTGTTTCTATGCAGAATTTCTGTGGACCTTATGTGTTTTTCCTCTTTGCTGGAGTGGTCCTGGCCTTTACTCTGTTTACATTTTTCAAAGTCCCAGAAACCAAAGGAAAGTCCTTTGAGGAAATCGCAGCAGAATTCCGAAAGAAGAGTAGCTTGGCCCAAGCGCCAAAAGCTGCTGTGGAAATGGAATTCCTTGGAGCTACAGAGACTGTGTAAAGATAACCTGCTTTTTTGACAAAAACAGAAACAGGAAGGAAGTTGTGTGTTTTTAACTGACGATTCTTTGAGAATTTTATATCTACGTCTTGAAGTATTATTTTATTTTTTAGGGAGCTTTTATGGGCTTTTCTCAGAAATGTCATCCAAAATTACCAAAGAAAGTATTTTTTTTAAGTTAGAGCATCTATTTTTGATAGTAAGACTCTGTAATTAAGTAAACCAAAAAGTCTAGCTCAATTTACTACACCAAAGGGCAAGTACATTGTAATGTTCCTAGCTCTATTCTTTATAACCAGGTTCTCCTGAAATGGAAGCAGTGTCAATGTATCATGTTATTGCTTCAGTAAGCATGTGACTGGAAACCTGGAGCTGCAGCTCATTTACATATTTGAACATGATTATGTTGGCATTTTCTTACCCACAGACCTCATACTAAAGGAGCTTTGGCTAGTGGTAATAAGGTCCATGTTAAAATTGATAACTTTTCTATTGCTCCCATTCAGCTTTTTTCTTCTGTATTAGAATTTATACTTTGTTTAAAATTTTATTTTTTCTGTATTTTCACGTGGAATGGTTTATTGAGTATATTAAGATATGTTCATAAAAAAAAAACTTTTATTTTTGGTAGGCTTACCAAAACTTTTGGTACTCAGAAAAAAAAATTAGTTCCTTTGCTTGATAACCAAATGATTTTTATAAGATTAAACGCTGAAAAGATTTTACCAGTCATACAGCCTGGGTTATCAGTTAATATTAATATCTATTATAAACCTATGTTAATTCCTTGCTAGTTCAGTCCTTTGAGCTCTATTTTGGTTTGCTTTTAAATTGAGCACAGCATGGTTTTCTCAGCTGTATTTTTTATAAAGTACATTCAAACAGTGATTAAGCTGGACATTTTTTTTTTTTTAAAGATTTTATTTGACAGACACAGTGAGAGAGGGAACACAAGCAGGGGGAGTGGGAGAGGGGAGAAGCAGGCTTCCCGCGGAGCAAGGAGCCCGATGCGGGGCTTGATCCCAGGACCCTGGGACCATGACCCGAGCCGAAGGCAGACGCTTAACGACTGAGCCACCCAGGCGCCCTAAGCTGGACATTTTTATATCTCCTCAAACCCTAAATAAGTTAGAGCAGTCTAAGAGAAATTTGAAATAAAGGATTGCTCTGTTTGTTAAAACATATTTTCTGTATTATGTTTGGAGACAAATTGAAAGAGTAGGATTGCAGGAATCCTAAAGGTGGGCTCCTGAAACTTCATGAATGCTCAATTTCAGACTTTATCAAAATCCCTATTTACTTTTCTGGTTAGATAGTCATCCCCTTTGACGTTCCTTCTTTGTCATGGCAGTATACAGATGCTATCTAAGCCATTCTATTGCTATTGCTAACATTTCCTGTGTACTATCTATGTGCCAGGCACTGTTCTAAGTGCTTTTACCTATGTAGGCAAATTGGAAATGCACAGATGATTAAACAGACTTTCCCTTATAGTCAATTTTACAACTATGGAAATACAGTTCTGATGGATACCAAAGGCTTAGCAGGGAGCTAAATAAAGTATCTCCAGGCTGTCTTCCCCACAAAGTGGAGCACTGAGTCAATCCTTTTTGTTTGCTTTAATGTGCATAAAAGAAAGGCACTTTTTTAAAAGTACTTTTTATGAGTGGAGGGGGAAAAATGCTTAACACTTGTTTTTGTTTTTTTCCCCTAGAGTTGTTTACCTTTATATAATTTGGCAGTCCAGACAACATAAAATTATTTCTTTTCACTTTGCTTTTTATTCCCTTTGGACCAATTTGGAATAAATTATTTTTACTTAGGACTTCAGGACACAGTTAAAGTGAGCTTAAATAGTTCAAAAGACTTTTGTGCTAGCTTGCGAACTCTAGAAAAATTGTGGGGACTCTGAATTGGGCAAGAGCAGGAGAATGGCTCCTGTGTGGCTCTTGTCCTCTTCTTCAGGATGCTGGTGGTCTTTGAGAAGCCCAAAGTTACAATGATAAAGAAGTTTAACATTTTTATAGGTGATGAATGTGATTTAATCAAATCGCTATTCCTGATCTCATTTACTAAGAAAATAAAGTAGTAAATGTTTAAATAAAGAACCCAAAAGACCACTTTTAAGTTCTAATTATTTATTTCGACTAACACATAAACACCAGAAATTCATAGCCCAGAGTTCTCTGCCTCAGAGAAATTGAACTAATTTACATGGTTTCCCTTCCATATTTTTTTCCTTGCCGAGATACAAATGAGTTGAAAAGAAACCTTAAGGTGAAGTAAGAAGCTGTTAAAGATTTATAGGAGGACAAAGGAACTAGCTTAACATAATAGAAACTCCCTGGTCTTCAATATCATACATCATAATAAATAATAAAATTGGCACTGATTAATTAGATGTAATCATAGGGAAATTAGATGTGAGTTTGAACATTTAATTTTCATAGTACTCTATCATTTTTGTGGAAGTCTTTTCACACTCTAATGTCCTAACAAATGTGATTTTTCTTAGCTTGTTTGAAGCATTACAATTCTTGGTCTGGCCACTCACCTGCTATATACCTAGCTATTACCCACTGTCATGACACCCAGTGAAAGGGTCTTCTCTAACTTTCTCCTCTATGCAATCAGCACTGTAATGGTACTGAGATACGCTAAGACTCTGCCCCCTTCCTCCTCAAGGAGCTCACAGTCTAATAAGCAGTTCAGGAAGACCAGGATATGAACGTCCCCATGTGTGCCTTTTGCCATCCATGAAACTTGATTTGGAGACCTTGTAAAATGGGCACAGTAATATTACCTACCTCAGAGAGTTGTAAGGATTAAATGTAAAGTGCTAAGCAGAGTTCCTGGTACAAAGGAGGTACTCAATAAATGTTACCTAGAATTAGTATTCACAAAGATACTGCTAAAATAAAAGTTTGTCATATATATTGATAGTTCCAAATTTTTCTTTTCTTTTTTCTTTTTTTTTCTTTTTTCCAAATTTCTTTTGAGTACAAAAATTTTATAAATTCAAGATAATATTTTCTTATTTCAAGCAACAATTTCAGTGACAAGGGAATGGTAAAAAATAAGGGAGATTTTAGGCTATCTAATTCCTAAACCCAAACTTGATATTTCTAAGTTGGTTTTGAGTTTTTATTGTATTTTTAAAGTTTGCTTTTGTCTAAGTTATGTTATTTTTTAAAAGGTTGCTATGTAATATTATTTCTTGAATAATACTAAGTATAGAGTAAAATGCTGTATATTTAAATGCAGTTCCACAAGATTATAATCACAGGACAAGACCAAACCTTCTTGATAATCCTCAAAAACTGCAGAAGTGCTTTATACATGTAAACCAGTTTGCATGCATAAGCTACTTCTTCTTGCTAGATTATAGCATATGCAGCAAATAAGGCAATGTTAGGCAATATCTTGTGCTTATGGTGTCCTAAACAGAGGTGCTGAGTAAAGCGCAAAAGAATATATAATTTTTCATTACAATTCTATCAGTGACCTGAGGAGAAAAGGTTTGTTGCCAACCACTCTGACCCATCTGCTGGTGTTTTTACTGCTTTCTAATTTGGTGCACATTAGAAAGAATCATCATGAAAAGACACTGGTTTTAGTTACGGGTATATATACACTACAGTTTTATGTCAATAAATACATTTCTGAATGCTTAAATGTTGCTTTATTTTATATAAAAAATAATCACATTTAAGAAAATATATTTGGTTTACTATAATATATCCTTGTTTCTTTCTTACAATATTGTTCCTATTCTCATTTTAAAGATAATACATGAGTTACTTTCTAATTCAAATTTTATTTCCATCAGGCAGTTGTTCTGATTATCAAGAGTAGGAAAAACTAAACTGAAGTCTAGGTAAAAACAACTGACTCTCTTTGATAAAATAGAAATAATTTCTTCAGTAAATATTTAGTTGAGCTCCCACTGTGAATAAGACACTTTGTTAAAATTTTGTGAAAGACACAAAACTTAGAAAACATGGTCCATATCCTCAATCACTTGCATTCTTATAAAAGGGTTAAAAGTTTAAAACAAATAGTTACAGTATGAAGGAGAAAATAGAAAAAAACTATAGTGGTTTTTAAGTTGACCTCTAAGTATGCTGCAAGGATGTGATTTTTAAAAATATAGTATATACTGATATTTAAAATTTGTTGTGCTCTATTTATCCAATGGACTTTAAATACCATAGTAATTTGTTACCACAACCATTAAAATATATATAAATACATATATATATATATACATATATTTTAGCAGTTGGAAATTTTACTGCATTCTTTTCTATTCTCATATTTCCTTTTCATTTCTCCCAAAGAATTTTATCCCAAATAACAAATTTAAATGCTTTTAAACCAACTTTTTGATGATTCTATTATGAGTATCTATAATTTGAATTTTTATGTTTAAAAATGTCACATGTCGGGCACCTGGGTGGCTCAGTTGGTTAAGCGACTGCCTTCGGCTCAGGTCATGATCCTGGAGTCCCGGGATCGAGTCCCGCATGGGGCTCCCTGCTCTGCAGGGAGTCTGCTTCTCCCTCTGACCCTCCCCCCTCTCATGCTCTCTCTATCTCATTCTTTCTCTCAAATAAATAAATAAAATCTTAAAAAAAAAAATGTCACATGTCAAAAAGGTCAAAATGTTTAACATTTTTTTCTGGATTGAGTTAGCATTTATGATTATTAGTAGCACACAAATGATGAAAAAATCTGTATTGCAGATTTTGATTAAATTATTAATTTTTAAAGTTATTATTTTAAATTTCATCTCAGTGAGAAACATGAGTTATTTATTTTTCAATCAATTAAAATATTAATGGATGGATATTTCTTACTGCTAAAGTTAAAGAGTGCTCAGCATAAATTCTATTATTACACTTTGCTATTATAGATGTATTAAAAAATCTTATTTTCGGGCACCTGGGTGGCTTAGTTGGTTAAGTGTCTGCCTTCAGCTCAGGTCATGATCCCAAGGTCCTGGGATGGAGTCCCACACTGGGCTCCCTGCTCAGCAGGGAGTCTGGTTCTCCCTCTCCCTTTACCCCTCCCCCTGCTCGTGCTCTCTCAAATAAATAAAATCTTCTAAAAAGAAATCTTATTTTCATAAATAATAGTATAGGAATGGGATATCCTTTTCATAAACTATTCCCAAATCACAGACAAAAAGCACATAAAAATTAATCATAAAAATAAATTTGATTTTTTAAATAAACTTTAATAATCTATCAGCTAACAACTCCATTGGACCCTTCTTCTTTAATTTTGTTGAAATCAAAGAACTTATATTGTGGAAGGATTTGTTATCCAGCTGTTATAATCATTCTTCTGTTAGTTTCTGGGCAGTATACCAAAAAGGTTTTACCAAGACTTAATAAAAGGCTATTAATTATACTGCTGAAACTTTCACTTAAAGGTAACTTGCTTAACCTGATATACTGAGAAGGGGTTGGGAGAATTGAAATACTAATTTTACATATTTTCACATATGTAATAAAATTCTTCTATTTTATCACATGCCGTATTTTCATCAAACCATTAGAAGTTGGATTTAGCTTGTTAGCTTGCTCAATTCATGGAAAATATCATAAATAACCTAGTGGGCAAATTCAGTCCTCATTGTCAAACTAATTTTCCAAATCAGTTTTACTATCTGACTTAATTTTTCACTTCCAATAATTACCTTAGTACTCATTCTTGTGACAGCTATCTCATGTTTGAATTCCAGTAATTCCACATGGATACTTGCCATAAGTCTGTCTCCTGCATTTCTAACAGATGCTTTACTTTCTTTACTTTTATGGGTCTTTCCCTCAGGAGCAATACACATTGAAAATAATTGGGTAAGGTCTGCTAAACAAAAGTGGTCATTATCCTGTTCTACAAAGCCCGAATTCAAAATACCGTAACTTGGGCCAAAATATACT